CCCTAAAAGAGCTCACTCAAGCGCTCCATCACTGTCGAAAGAAAAGCGCTCCGGGCCCCGATGGCATAACCTACCAGTCGCTCAGGAACGTGGATCCTGTACACCACCCAGGCATACTTGAAAAGCTCAACGACATATGGAGGACAGGAGCGTTTCCAGATGCATGGAAAGAATCGATAGTAATTCCCATACTCAAACAAGGGAAGCCGATAGAAAAATCCTCATCCTACAGGCCGGTTTCCTTGACGAGTTGCTTGGGAAAAGTTCTTGAGCGAATGGTTCTTCAACGTCTAACCTGGCTTTTGGATAGAGTGGGTGCCTTCTCGCACGAACTTGCTGGCTTTAGAGCCAAGAGGTGCACTGCGGATGCAATAGGAGACCTTGCCTCAACCCTAGAAGAAGCCAAGGCTACGGGGCAAATGGTACACTGCGTGTTCCTCGACATCAGTCGTGCATTTGATACATTGCCACATCCAACCATCATCCACCGACTAAAGCATTTTGGGGTTTGTGGCAGACTCTTATCTCTAATTGAGTCTTTTCTTTCCGGTCGGTCCATGAGCGTGAAACTGCCAGATGCTACTAGCACATCTAGACATATTGCTCAAGGGGTACCCCAAGGAAGTGTATTGAGCCCTCTTCTTTTCAATCTTGCCATGAGCGTCCTCCCTCGATGTCTCCCAGCAAAGAATCGAGCTCTTCGGATTGGCATGGCAATCTACGCGGATGATGTGGCGTTGTGGTGTGTCGGGCCCTCAAGGAACGCTATAGGGATCCGTAATCGACTCCAGGTGGCACTGGACTCTACTGCACTGGCCATAGCGCGACTAGGCCTTACTCTATCTGCGGAAAAAACTGCCTCACTCCTCTACCGACCCACAGGCCGAGCACCACAGAATGCCCTACGACTAAAACTTGCTGGAACGCCAGTTAAAAGGGTGAAAATCCACACGTATCTGGGCGTTATTATTGACGATCGGGTGACATGGAGACCTGAAGTACGCAAGAGACTTCAACGTTGCCGTCAACTGCTACGTGTCGTTAGACAGCTTGGAGGCTCCTCCTGGGGTGCATCCCAACGTGCACTACTTCAAATGTACAAAGGGCTCATCATGTCCAGGCTTCTCTATTCACTACCGCTACTGGCTGTTGCAAGGGCACAAATTCGAGACATCGATGCTTTTCACCGGTCCGCACTACGAAGCTGCTTGGGACTGCCTCCTTCAGCAGAGAACGTGGCTACAATTGTTGCAGCGGAAGAGTGGCCGCTGTCTTTAAGACTTGAAGAGAGAGCGCTGCGCAACATCGCTCGTATGAGCAGTCTCCCCCCTGCGGACACAATCCGTAAACATCTCTTTGCCCGGCCAAACTCTCACCTCGGGCGCCAAGCAAGACGATTCAACTTTGAAGTTGGAGCTCCTAGCGAATTTATCCTCCCTCAACCACCACATTCCACGCGTCCTCCCCTGGAGATACATGCGACGCTCCCAATCCCACAGCGCAAGGCGAATGTCCCAGGGTTTGTCGCTCGCTCAATCGCTCTTGAGCGCATAGACGAAGTGTATGACGGTTGGGTTCATGTTTATACAGACGCCTCAATTAACCTCACCAAACGGACTGCCACGGTTGGGATTACCATTCCAGAAATGGGCTATGATATATCGGGCAGGCTAAATTTTGTATCGTCGTCAACCACGGCAGAACTCGTTGCCATCTGGGCTGCTCTTGAGTCAATTAAGAACACCTCCTCACCAACAAAAGCTGTCGTACTCACAGACTCAAGAGGTGCTCTTCAGCAGCTTCAGAGACTTCATAATGCAACCCCACTGCTGGCGAGAGTCGCGTCTGAGGCAGCGGCAGTTGAAGACATGGGATGGTGCCTTGCTATGCAATGGATCCCGTCTCACGTCGGGATTCCTGGCAACGAACGGGCTGACCAACTGGCTGCAAAAGCACATGACGATCCAGTCCCAACCTTCTTACTGGATCGCTTCAACGAGGCTCATCGATTCATCCGTGAGATCCTCACAGAACGGCATCCACATCCAGGGGTCGCAACGGGGAGGCCACCCCCCGTGGTTCCCCGCAAGCTCCCCAAGGCTGAGACAAGCCTTCTCCACAGGCTTCGGGCTGGTTGCCCATACACTGCCAAGCGGCTCCACATGATGCGTCGCAAAGCGGATCCCAACTGCCCCACCTGCGGCGACCCAGAGGACACAGAACATGCCCTGCTGGTTTGTTCCACACATCACGAGGCCAGAAGAACTCTTTTCCAACACTACACACTATCTGGCCTGCCATATGGAACTATCACAGAACTTTTGAACCCTAGAGGAACCAGAGGAACAGCGGAGAAAGCCTTCCGCGCTCTTCTGCGCTTTCTACGTGACACTGGGCTGGCGGATAGACTGTGATTTGGTCTACTTCGCTCCCTAACCAAAGGCTCTGAACTATGTTGATAACTAACTGGGCGGATATTTATAACTAGATTAGTTGTAAAAATGGACCTTTTAACTTCTTTTTTTGTATATAATCTTCATCTTCCCTCTTTCTATCCTCTTTCCCCAACAACCAGGTAGCGACTCGCCCGTTAATTGAGGCCCACATCTCCTGGTTTCCCCCTTTCCCGACACCCCATAATAAACAAACAAACAAACAAACCTGCTTCGGCTGCATCGCCGCTTTTACCTTCTACAGACTTCTTTCCTGCATGACCCCTCAAAGTTCGCCCAAGCCGTCTTTTCAAAAACATTCGAAAATCTCTCACTATGCTTGCACGTTGTTCTCTATTCCTAATTATATTCGGAAATAGGCGTTCTGAACCTTGTGAACGTGTCTGAACCGAGCGGCCCTTACCGTAGCCGTTGCTTCAGTGGTTGAGCGTCCGCTTCATCTACGGGAGGTGGAGGGTTCGATCCCCTCTGCCGGCGGGTACCCCCCCGCTCTTGAACAAATGGGTACAGTCCCGATGCCCCGGCCCGGCGCTCGGCTCTCTGGGGTGTCAAAGCGACTGGGAGAGAAGGCTGCCTCTCGTCAATCATGATTTCTCCAAGATGATGGTGTTGCGCAGAGTCCTTCACCCGATGACGGAGGCAGGGCCCCGGAAGTCGACGTCTTCGGGCCCGCCCGCACCCAAGGCCTGGGGCGGCCGGTAGATCGGGAGACGGATGATTTCGTTCCCTGCCCGGACCATATGGGTGGTTGGCCTTTGACGAAGCTCAGTCTTGTAGTGCCTGGGTGGCGACGGCCTTCTCTTTTTGCATTTTGGTCTTGCGCAAAAAGAATTTATGCCTGGCGATTTTTGAAGTAACGATAAATATAAAATAACTTTTGGTTTATTTATAAACTTCGGAAAAACCTGCCAGTATCTGGGCCCTGACTCGCTGGTTAGAGAGTATTGCTTCCGTGGACAAGTATCACTGCTTATTCATTCATGTTGGTTTTCCCAGGGGTGGGTGGACGGGTGGAGGGGGGGGGGGGGGGGGGGAGGGAGGGAGGGAGGGAGGGAGGGAGGGAGGGGAGGGGAGACGGCGACCAGTATGTTACCTTAAATAATAATTCGTCCGCAACATAAAAAAAAAGGCTGGGGGTTCTTTAAGGAAGTATTCTGGGTCCCTTTTTATTCAACATGTACGTTAACGATATTGTGAACATAAGCCAAACAACAGGATTTGACCGCATAAATCGTTTTCTTAACTTATCGCGCTCGGATTTACTACATAGGTGGCTGGAGTTGGTGGAAGCTTTCGCTAAAATTGGGGAAAGGTTGGCCACCTGAGTAATTCAACAAAAGTCAAAAACTATGTTATCCATATACTTTGCATGTACAGTAAAAAAAAAGATGTGTCATTGTGGCGCTTATTTGGGCCAAATGATCTGAAGATTAGATAAGCCAATTCTATTTCCTTTCCATTTCACAAATTTTTCGATCGTAGTAAACGCCAGAATATCCCACAACTAGGCATATGGAGCAGAAACAATGCCTTGAAAATAAGCGCGAATAAGACGAAGGCAAAAAAAAAAGAAAAAAAGAATATATATATATATATATATATATTTTATAAACTATAAATTCCTCGCGGCAATTATAAATTACTCGCGCAATTACTCGCGGCGTCTAAGACGTCTAAGGCGTTTTATTCTCGGAGTTCATGTCGTGGGATGACCACATTAATTATATTATGTCCAAATTATCCGGTATAGTTGGCTTAACACATCGCCACAGACATATTCTGCCACCTAAGATAAAATTACTCCTATGTAAGTCTTCATTTTATTCGCATCTCCTTTTTGCATTTTATATACTACATTTTATATACATTTTATGTACCAATAAGCATTCACTATGACGCAATTGAATGTCCACCAAAAAATATTTTTAATCAATTTTGTATAGGTGACAATTCAAGACTTTTATATATCCCGCTTATGTGCTAGGTATAAGATTGAAGAACAAAATCAACAGTTGTTGTATTAAAAAAATTAGCTAATCTAACAGAAAAAAAAGGTGTATACATATTTAACGCGAAGAATGGAATCGGGGGAAGTATAATTTATGAGAAAACATTATGGCCACCACACATTAACATACACTCTTCCGATAATTCTGGACGAACTTAGTGTCAGAAATATTGAAATGAACAACATGTCAGTGAGCATCGTACGCGACATGTTTTTCAACCCTTTCGTCTGATTCCAACGGCAACTTGTTATGTCAAGATGGTTTGTTTTGAAACGGTTTGTTTTGAAACTTTGTCGTAGCGCTAGATTTGGACGGATACTAGGTTTGGGTGATTACTTAAACAAACACACACACACCACACACACACGAGCATTTTTTTTTTTTTTTTTTTTTTTATTTACGTTGTTTGCTGGTGCGCTCGAGAATCCGAACCGAAAGTAGTCTGATCGCGTCACGCGAAATCTCGCGGGCGCGACCGTTCCGCCATCTGATGCCTTTGACTGCAACTGCCGTTTCTGATAAACCAGCTGAACTTGAGCTAAACGGGCTAAACCTTTGTATTCGAACTCGCTAGCGAAATTACCGTAGATAAATAATCGCGTATTTTCTGCAGTGTTCTCGTTTTTCTGGTGAGCAAACGTTTGGGAAAAATATGTCGATTTTTTTTTCTTCTTCTGGCTCTTGGTGCGCGGCGTAAACAAAACAGTAGTCTCCGTGTCGGCGTTTCTCGCAGCTGTTTACGTGGTTCGTTTGAAACGTTTTCTCCGGACAGGTTGGCACAGATGTGTGATTGATTGAGTAATACGTGTGCCAAAAGGGGATACATTAGTGGTAAGGCAATACAGTCAGCTCGGTACCCCTTTCTTTTCCTTGTGGTACGATTCTGTGCTGATATGGGCGCAGGGGCGGATCCAGAACTTTTTTTTCTTTGGGAGTGGGGTGGGGGGATATGTCAAATTGCCCCCCGAGAAGGGGGGAGGGGGGGTCGACTTTGTCTGAAGGGGGGGGGGGGGGGGGCGGCCCCCCCCCCCCCCCTCCTCCCCTTTCGGTCTGCCCCTGTATGGGCGCAGTAGTTGGCACGATCTTCGGAACAAAGCTGTCGCCGATGCACAGCCTATGTATGCACTGATGGCGAAAGCTCTGTCCGCTTTCACTGTCCGATCAAAATAGCGGTAAAATGTAGCAAACTGCAACCATGTGCGTGTCAAATTCAAGCGATATGGTCACGGCACCGCATGGACAGCAGCCGCTTTTTTTGGAAGTGCAAGGCATCTGCGCATCTGCCGTAGTGACGTCAGAAACATGACGGCGTCTTGTAAAGAGAACCCGTATATCTTTAAGTGGTGCAGTTATCATACTCAAACTTCATGAGTGTGGAATTAAAAAAAAAATAATTTAGGCTAAAGAAAAAGTTTCATTTTGCTGTGTGCATTGGGAGGAAAAACGTTAAAACCGTCTGTACACTTACAGATGACTCCATGCATGCTCTGACATACCGAGTCTACTTTCAAGTGTTCATCTCAAAGTGGCTTTCACATTTTTTGCTTTATGTTGTGTCATCCGCGAGTAAAGGCGTCGACCAAGACAGTTTTTACTCTCTTCCTCCACGTGCATAGGAACAAGAAAGGCATTTTTCAGGCTTACATTTTTTTCCTAAAACCCACACTAATTATCTTTGAGTATGATAAATGCACCATCTAAAGACACCTTTGTGGAAAGTTCTATTGCACTTAGTTTTTTTGTTTTATTTACAAGAATTTCTTTTACGCTTTTATAGCGTTTGGAAACACCCCGTGTTTTTGGGGGGGTTGGGGGGAATCGATGCCTGCCTGTAGCGATCACAAATTTTCATCAGACGTGCATTTAAGTGGTAGATATTACCTCGTGAATTCTCGTAGCTCTCCTGTGTTAAAAAGTGAGACCGACACAATTGCAGACGACTGTGTTAACCGAGGGTTGTGCTTGTGGTGTCGTTTCTCGACGGGTGCGGCAAGCAGACGACACATTCGGCCGAAAGCAGACGACGCCAACTCAGGTCACTGCCGTATCTTTTTTTCCGCAGGTGACAGGGCATCGTCATGAGTGGTGCAAGAGCTAGGAGGGTGTGCGTTCTGGTGCTGGGAGACTTTGGCCACAGTCCCCGCATGAACTATCACTCCCTCTCGCTCGCCAAGGCGGGCTTTAAAGTGGATGTCCTGGCTTACGGCGGTGAGAAAAATCCGTCCTTTGTATACCCGACTGTGCTTCGCCAGAGCTGACGACTCACTTTAGCCGAACCCGACAAGCGGCGTTGATTGGCGGGGGGGATTCTTAAAACTTTTCTATCGGCTTTCTTCGAGGTAGATAGCGTGCAAAAAACGTTTTCTATCTCATGAGGAACAACAGAAATATATTGCATGGACAGAGGCACAGCTGTTTTAGGCATGCTTACTTACCTCTCTTTTGTGCTGCTGGTTTTGTTCCACCTTAGGTAAACACTGACTTCTGCTCCTTGCGTAGTGCGGAGATACCTTTGCGTCGACTCTGGTCTGCGTGGCTTTAACGCTGATTGCGTTTGTGGGCTGGTTTTGTCGTCTAGGGTGCGGCAGTGACGCAAGATGTGTGACACGGCTTTCCTGCTAAATTTAGCGGGGAAGTTGGGCACAGGTCGCATTGTGCGTGTCTTGACGTCTCATACGAGTCTAAAAGCCCCCAAAATGTCAGCGAGAGAAATACGGATGAAAGAGGTCTACAATCGCTAAGTAATCAAACATCAATGCACATCTAAAAGACTGAAATATGCCAAAAAGTCGTAGAAGCTAAGACACAAACAAGACAGTCCGCATCTTTCGAGGTCTTTCGACTTTATGCAAAGGACCAAGGTAGGTTTCAATTTTATTTGCACCACTCTTTCTTTTCCAGGTTTCTCCTGTGTACACAGAGAGACATTATTAGCATGAGCATATCATTTGCACACTGCCGCTTTTTGCTCGCAAGGGCTGGCCACGGACATTAAATACCATTGCCTAAGTCGACGCCCTTGATTGCACAGGTTTCACCACACTTGCAGTTTTGACGACAGTCACTCAGTTTTGGGAGAAAGACAAAGAGAGACAATCACTTATTTGTGTGAGCTTTGTCATGCTCTCTACGTTAGTGGTCATACGATCTGGGCAGTCTTGCAGATAAGTTCTTGCATAGACGGGAAAAGGAGGATCATGTTTGTAGTAAGCATGCTTAAAATTGCCCGTGTCATTCGTCCAGACAACCAGTCTGAATCATGTGGCTTTGCGCTCTCGCTGGCAAACTGCATGACCAATAGGTGCGGCAAAAAATCCCACGAAAAACAAGCACGCTTTCCGTGTACGACACATGTGTTCACTTAACGCCGCTCACCTGAGTTTGGAGCAATGCTTTTTCATACTCCAGGGGTGGAACGGCTGTGCCATTTGTGCCATTTTGCGCCAGACGCATTTGTCTGCGCCATTTTGCGGAAACTGCGCCACAGCCAATACTTTGCGCCATTGTGCTCCAAATCGCACGGGTGCGCCAAAATAATTCTATTTTGTCTTGGTTTCGGTTTTTATTGACTCGATTGAAAACAATGAGCGCGTTTAGCTTGGTCGGCCTTGCAATTTTTTGTTCCGTTAATTTTTCCTGTGTATCCCGAGTCGGAAGTACGCGAAAAAACTGCGGGGTCGGATTCCAAGCGCTACATCACGTGCGAATGGATCGTTATTCTTCAGCCATGAGCGGTTAAGCAAGTCGGCCGAGGTGAGGTCGAGTCGTTAAGCGTCCGATAACCTGAAGGTCTGCGGCCCGGGTTCCGGACGTCAGCCAGTTGAAAACACATTAGCGAAAGGTTCCTTTTAGTGCTTCATCGTTAGAAGTTAGAACCACATTCCTGCAAGATAAATTGTGAATTCGTTGGAACTGAAACGCTGTCCGATCCGAATCCTTGCCTGCCAGCAGCTCTCACGGGAGCGGTAGATCTGCTCGGCGTACTTTAATCTTGCTCTGTCTCATCGCTTCGAATATGATAACTCCAATAATCGTAGTCTGATGCTTTGATATTGAGTTGTATAATAGGATAAACTCAAAATTTGTTGCCCTGTTCCTCCGTGCAACTGGCACGTCCATTGCTTACGCACGTCACGTGGTTCGCACATATAATTACGATGTCGAGCACTTGTGGGTCATGCTATAAATTTGCATTTTGAGCTGCTGAAAGCCACTCAGAAAATATCAAGGACACTATCTTCAGAAACATATGGTATAATTGCTTTTTGGTTCTCACTGAGGTCAAGTTCTTGAAACCTGTTACACTGTTATCCCATCTACATAGGTTCCTAACCACTCATGCTCATCTGTGCTGCTAAGCACAATTAAAATTGCTCCCGTGCTCGTCTAAAGCGTGTTTCACATGCAGCGATTTTGGCCGTAGAGCGGCGCGTTTTCTGCCGTCGCGGCGCTCGTGCCGCTCAACCGCTGCAGCTGGCCAGAGCGCCGTGACGGCAGAAATCGCGCCGCTCTAGGGCCAAAATCGCTGCATGTGAAACACGCCTAAGACACAATAAAAACTGATCTGAGCTGCTCCTAGCCTGCTCCATAATGTAGTTTTAGCTGCCCCCAGCCTGCTCCAAAACAGCAGTTTCATCTGCTCCCGTGTCTGCTGCCAAGTACATTTCATGAATTCCACCCCTGTACTCGTTTTTTTCTATAATTCAGGATCCCACCCCAGTGTCGAAGTCCTGGCCAATGAGAACATTGAGCTGTACCTCATGAAGGATCCACCAAACTTCCAAAGATGTAAGAACCCCAGTTTCAATTTCTTTTCCACTCTTGCCAGGGAATGCAATTACCATTTACAAGTAACATTTTGGTGAACTTTAGTGAAAGGCCCTACATGCACGCTGGGGTTCTCAGTTGTAGTAACACAGTGTGCTTGCACCATTAACACAAATTAAAAAACAAATTCACTTCATTTTTTTTTTTTTGAAACAACAATGCAGTTTTTTTTAGTATCACCTAGGAAGACCACATGTCAAATATTAAGGACTAATTCTGTCTGAATGTAAATGGTTTGGTCAACCTTGAAACGAGCCAAGTTGCCGAAATCGTTGACTCCAGCAGGTGAATTCAGGCACAGTCGAGAGCGCAGTCAAGGATACGGTGTGGGAGTAGCCAGCATTGGGGGGGGGGGGAGCTAAACATCATCAACATTGCCACTTTTTGCTTGTTTTTACTTCTCCGTGCAAGCCTAATGGGTGACGTCAGCAACATTTCCTCTCAGCACTCAGCAGTGTCTGCATGATTGGCGTAACATACCTGCAGAGCGCTTATCTTGGGAGTTGTCTGGCCATCTCCCGCGTCACAACCGCGGTTTTCGTCTCACCATTTGTGATTATTGTCTCTCGGAGTTTCGTTCACGCTACATGTGCAGTCTGGTGCTGAGATGTGCAGACGTCTTCGGATATCGTAGACACCAAAACGGGGGTGAAGAGTGTGGTGCGGACGACACTTGCACCTTGCACACACCCACTCCCAACAGTGACCCGCCCCGACCCCGCCCGTCGTCGCGTAGAGGATCGCGTTACCGCTCGTACCATGTGGTAGCAACGTTGGCGAAGTTTCGGTTTCGGTTTCTTCTCATGTTTAAAGTCAGGTTTCACAAAATATATCCCATTTTCCGTGGAGAACATCCCATAGTTACTTTTATTGGTGCTTTTAATGTGAAATCACTCATAATCTCGCAATCTTCAGCATTGAGCAGAGTTGCCCTTTAAAGGGCAACTCCACGAAATCCCTAAAATTTCAGAATAATAAGTGTTTTTACATTAAAAAAGCACTAATAAAAGGCACTACATCGTTTGCTTCATGAAAAATGGGATGTATATTGTTAAATCTTACTTTAAACATCAGCATATATCAAAACTTAAACTTCGTTTCCGTCTGGCAAAATTGGCCTTGGGCCGCCATAAACATGGCTATCACGTGGGGACGACGTGTCACATGATCATCTGCGCAATGACGGGCGGAGTTGGGGCGGGGTGGGGGGCCACTGCTGGGGCGGACATGTGCCAGGCGCAAGCGTCGTCTGCACTGCGCTCTTCACCATGTTTTGGTGTCTACGACATTCAACGACGTCTGCACAACTGCGGCATCAGTCTGCGCACGAAGCGTGAACGAAAATCCGAGAGACAAAAATCGTGAGCCATTTCACTCTGTGGAGGTGGATGACCAGCGAAGCTGTTTAGCATACGACACAGACCTGCCCGGAGGAACCGGAGGAAAGTAGACACGCGCCACGGGATCGCCACCTGGCGGAAAGTAGACACGCGCGACGAGACCGCCACCCCGGGAGAGCGGAAGGAAAGAACTAGGCACACAAGCGCTTAGATTGACGACAAAGAGGGCGATGCGAGCGTAAACATGGGCGACGGGGGTCGCACAGCGGCAAATCTTTGACAAACCTTCATTCTCTACCTCAGAGTCTACTGATCTTGAAAATGGTGCCGGTTGATAACTAATCTACTGAATAGAGCTATCGCTAAATTACTAAAACATCAAGGAGAATGCACGAAATGGTGTTCCACGTGCTGCACGTGCCGGCGTCTGCAGCAGTAATTATTCTAAAGCAAAAGCCTAAAACAAATGGCATCTTGCACGCTCGTTCGTTAACGCTTCATTTGGGTTATTTAACTTAAATCTTTTATACGGGGAAGGCGTGCACGTGCGGCGGTGCGAGCATAGAGTTTTTAGTCGCTGCACACGAAATATCCACGGAACCCTAGCCATAAACAGCTTCGCTGTAATAATCACAAACAGTGAGAAGACGACAGCGCTTGTGACGTGGGAGACGGCGGTAACGGTGGGACGGCCGGTCGGCTCCCAAGAAGTGCGCTGCGCAGGCGCGTTACATCAATCACGTGAACAGCACCAAGCGCTGAGAGGAGGCATTGCTGACGTCACCCGTTACGCTTTCCTAAAGAAGTAAAAACAAACAAGTTTGTGTGGAACGCGAGAACGTTATTGGGCCCCGTTCACATCGCCTTCTCATTCGCTTCTCATGCTCTTTCTGCTAGTGAGCAGGAAATGCAGCAGACATAGCCTGGTCAGTAGCATGTCTGGCTCGCAACCAAAGGGTCATAGATTCGAATCCTGCCTAAAATTCTTAAAATTTTACTTTAAGGCAAATGAATTACTTTATAAAGTGAAATCATTTGAGACATGCGTCGACCTTTAATTCACATTACACGTCATGTTTTTTAATCACTTTCATTCTTTATAAAGTGAAATCATTTGAGACATGTGTCGACCTTTAATTCACATTATATGTCATGTTTTTGAATCACTTTCATTCCACGCATGATATCACGTTTCACATGAGCGTTGTGGGTTGTTTGAAATTCCTGTGCAAGGCCATGTGGCTGTGATGTCATGACCCTATCGACCAATCAGGATTTTCCTGTCACACCGCAGACATCGGCTTTTCTGCGGCATGAGCTCCCTAATGCTACCGTGTTAAAAGGGGCAATGTCGATGACATTTAGCTCAATGTTAGCTACGCCAACGTCGCAGCCTTGACTGCAGTGTTGGTTGCGCCCTCAATTCGCCTGCTAGAGTCAACCGATTTTGGCAACATGGCGCATTGCAGAGTTTGCCGGACCGTTTAAGAAACATTTAGACGGAGCTAGGTTGTAATATTTGATGCGTGGTCTTCCTAGGTGATACTGAAGAGGACTGCATTATTTTTTCGTAAACAAAAATGAAGCAGAGTTGCCCTTTAAGGCACGAAGAGCTGCCTAAACAGGATGTGGCCACATGATCAATTTAACAAAAAAAACATAACTTTCCCTTTTTTTTTTCTTTTTTTACTGTAGCCATTAGTTTTTTGGCAAACCACGTCGGTGACTGAAGCAAAGTGCCAGCCTAGGGATCCTTAGCTGTTGGGTTCATATACGGTCTAAGCTCATTACAACAGACCTGGTTACAACAGACATTTGGATATACAGTCGAATCTCGTTAATTCATACTGGAGGGGGATCGAAAATTTGTTTGAATAAAGCAAAGTTTGAATTACCGGGAGTTTCCTCCCATAAAGATGCATAGGACGGGACCTGCATGTTAGTTTGAATTATCCGCAAGTTTGTATTAAGGGAGTTTGAATTAACGATATTCGACTGTAACATATAAATTTGTGAATTTAGGTTGGTTTTCCTCTATATACCATTAACTCAACTTCATATCTGCATAGAACATACTCCTTTTACAACAGACTGAAATCTTGGCCAAAATCAGGGTCTGTTATAACGAGGTTAGACTGTACCGGCGAAGGTCTGACAGAGGCTTGTTGCTGAGGTTTTGGTTGCACGTCGAAAGATTACCGAGCGGTTGAAATTAGTCCTCGGCCCTTCTCTGGTGCATGCCCGAGGCGCATTTTTACTGCGGCATTAAATTTCTGAAATTGACTTCACTATCTTTTTTTTCTTTTTGGCTGCGCTTTTTTTCTCTTTTTTTCAGTATTTTGTTTTTACCGAAAAAAGGGGCGTGTCACAGCAGTTTGCTCTTGGTCGAAATGGCACACTGTGCCCATCATATTCATAAACCCAGTTGAGATCAGGACAACTCTCCTATCCTATTAAAGGGGCACTAGGGTGAATCTTGAGATTGGCTTTTTATGGCACAAACTCAATCTACACACCCTAAGCATTCCATAAATCCTAACACTACAGTCATACGTGGCTCTTTTTCAACATTAAAAACTCCACCAAACGCTGTGACACGCCCCTTTTTCTGAGATATCTCTGGGAAAGGGGGTGTGTCACAGTGTTCAGTTGCATTCGGGTAAAAGAGGCCACGTGTCATTGCAATGCCGTGTTCTATAGAATGCTTAAGGTGCGCAGATTGAGTTCGTGCCAGAAAAGGACGATCTCAAAATATACCCTTTTGTATGGTGGTGATGGCACATTAAAAAGTGCATGCCTAAACGTGAAACCGTGCACACCGCGGGAGGCGTTACTCTTTGTTTTGTCTTCGGCAAACTATAAACGTTATGTTAGCATGATGTTTCACTTTTCTCTGGCTATTTATAGTTTTGAAAGTAGATGCTCCGCATGGATGACACTCTCAAAATGGTTGTTTCGCATGTCAGCACTTCTGGGGGTGGCGGCAACTGGAGTGCTGCCTCTTCCGATCCAGACTTCTAATGCTCCTCAGAATTGAAATTCGGAGAACGAGAGCTCACCATCCGACGGAGTAGCTCTGTAAAGTACCTCCGGTTCGTAATTCAAGAACGCCGGAGCATTGCGGTAGCAGACGCGCCGAAATGAAGCCAAACGGAAGTAAGGAAAATGACTTTTCGCCCTCAATATTTTTTTTTATGCTTCTAGTCCCAAAAAGCTTGCAAGCAGCGTATGTTTTCTTGTTAGATAATTAAGAAAAAGAAAAACCTGCACACTGACCTCTTTTTTTATACCACTCCTTTGCAAACAAAACCTGACTCCCGGAAAACATTTTCTGGGAAAGAAAACTCGACCGTCAATGGGTTAAAACCGTATCTCTGGGTAAATCGAGTCTTAACCCCCAGAACATGTACGGTTACTGGCGGTCCAAGAAGCGCAGGGCATCTCCTTCCGATGCCCAGCCCAGCCTCTACCACGCACCCTGTGCCTTCTGTCGTGCTTTGATCGCACGTGCGAGCTCGGGGCTCGAGAGGCGCCGAAGCATTATCGAAGGCAGGAGTCTCGGGCTGGAGGCGGGACGACCGAAATACCTCCTTGCCGTTCTCAACCTCTGAGCGAGAGCAACCGTACGTGTGATTCTCTTGCCACACGTTGCCTCATGCGTGGCGGAGTTGGCAGCGTGCGCGGCTGACATGCGGATCAACAGGGCCCAGTTCTTTATGTTACCAAACATTGCCCTACTGGAAAGTTCCAGGCTACTCAGCAATTATCGCATGCTCTGGATTAGAATCTTCCCCAATGTAGTGCGCATATGGAAGCGACTACAGCATGCTACTTTGAGTTAGTCGCCCTTCCTTCGCCAGCACCATGCGTACGGCACTTTGCTGTTCAAGTTTGTGGGCACGAGTCTGCCTTACTAAACGTTTATTTTCTGTTTTTTTTATTTGTGTATCTTTTTTTATTCATATTCGTAACAGTATGAATGGGTATGTCAAGATCACTAAGAGTGCGGTGGTTGTTTTGGCAGATGTCCCGAGGCTCCTGGCATACGTGTTCAAGACGCTTTGGCAGACGGTTGTCCTGCTGGCCTGTCTCTTCTGGCTTTCCAGACCTAGTCATCTTCTAGTCCAAGTGAGTCGCGCAATCACGCACTGGGGTAGCAGACGGCAGAAAATGACGACGCCTCGAAAACTGCCACATTTGAAAATCGTATGCAGTCGGACGCAGAAAATTGTGTGCGATTTATTTATTTATTTCTTTCAGTACCCTCAGGGCCCAGGGGCATTACAGAGGGGGTGGGCTTACAATATTGGTTCAGTAAAAAGTTCAAACAAACAAGGCAGCTTGGTTATAAAACTTAGTCTGGCATAATCTTAGCAAAAGTGAGTACTAGTTAGTGCTTTTCTAAATAAAACAATTGATGGGAAAGTTACTAATGACGCGGGAAGGTAGTTCCATTCAGATGACATTCTAGGGATGAAAGAGTCGACGTAAGCTGAAGTTTCACAATGAGGTATGCCACCTTTAAGACTGTGATCGATGCGGGGAGGAACGAAAGAGGAGCTAATGAATAGTTTGTCTTTCAGAAAAGCGTTGGAATGAAAACTTTTATGAAAGAGGCATTAACGAGATGTTTTATGGTACGAGGATGGAAAAAGGACAGGGTAGTTTTCATAAATGAAACACTTGCGGTGCGACGATAGTTGCAGGTTATGAAACGTGCGGCAGAATTTTGCAGGGCCTCAATGTTTGTTACAAGCATTGAGTGACTGGGATCCCAAATTTCCGCAGCACGTTCCAGCTTTGAGCGTATTAAAGTCTTGTACAGAAGAAGTTTTAGTGACATAGGGGTGAAAGAAAAGCTTTTTTTAAATATCCAAGCATTAAATTAGCATTAGTGATTATAAGGTCAGAATGAGCTTTCCATGATAGGTTAGAAGTGATGTGAACACCAAGATACTTGAATGAGGTTACAGATGTGAGCTGAGTTTTAGATTTTGAGTATGGTGATGGTGGCTCGTTACGACGAGACACCCTCATAATTTTACATTTTTTAGTATTGAGAGTCATTTGCCATAAGTTACACTATTTCGAAACTGCGCATAAATCACCCTGATGATGTGCTGCATTGGATTCGTTAGTAATTTCATGACATATAACACAGTCATCTGCAAATAAGCTAATATGGGATGATACACACATTGGTAAGTCAATAATGTAAATAAGAAACGGAAGGGGTCCCGAAACGGTCCCCTGGGGATCAAACTGTGATCGATTAGTAAGGAAACATTCAATCCAGGACGAAACTTTAGAATCAATATTAAATGTATCAATCTTAAAAAAAACAATAGTTTGTGAGATACTTTGTCAAAGGCTCTGCAGAAGTGGAGAAAGACGCAATCAACCCGAGATCCACGGTCCAGGATGGAGAAAAGATGATTACTGAAAGTAAGAAGTTGAGTTTCGCAGGTCAGTGATTTCCGAAAACCATGTTGCGAGGGTGAAAAAGAAAAAAAAAAGAATCGGAATCTAAACTAGATTAGAATAAATTATGTGCTCTAAAATTTTACAGACCTTGCTTGTTAACGAAATGGGTTGATGACTAAAAGGGCTATGTTGCATGCAGTCGCATGCAAAAAATCGCTTCCCACATCTACAGGCATCTGGTTTACGAGCTTTATCTATATTCTTGTCCATATCCGAAAAGCGATTCACCAACATATTTTTGTGATTTAAGTTTAAATGGCACTTCGGGTGCACATGTGCTTGAGCGAAGTTAACCTTCTTGAGAATGTGCGATGCATGCCGCCGTCACCTCTCACATCATGTCGTGGAAATATTGGCAAGTTTAGGGATTGTTTCTACTACTAGAAGCATCACAAAGCCCAACCAGGACCTGATCAAAAAGCTTGCTGAAACGAAACACTGCGTTTTGCGACCAGGGGAGTCTTCTGTGCCAAAGGGAACCAGATGTTGCGCACATGCAACATCATCTCGTGTTCAGAACTCTCTGCTCACTTCATGTGCCTAACGTACTGACCTTCTCACTTGTGACATGTGTCGAACATTGTTTCGTGGTCGGAGCTCAATGTCCTTTTCGTGTGTTGCATGTGTGCAATGTGTTTCGGTGCACAGAATCCGCCATCCATTCCAACACTCCCTGTGGCCTGGCTGTACTGCCTCCTCCGCGGCTGCGTCCTGGTGGTCGACTGGCACAACTACGGCTACTCCATACTGGCACTTGCCCTAAAGGAAACGCATCCTCTCGTCCGAGCCTGCCGCTTGTAAGTCTATAACGGCCATTACTCTCTGCACTTTGCAACAGCTTGTTTCAGTAGAGAAGCGAGCGCTACCCCAGCAGTTTGGTCCCTTGGAACAGTCTGCATGTGCATGTGAAGGAGTGTGATAAGATGTTTCTTTTATTGGTTTACTTATACCTGCATTTTGTTATTCTTTTGAGTTTCATTGTGTGACATGTATATAGAATGTTCCGGAAAACGAGATGTTTCCTACTCATTGTGTTGTTTTGGTAGGTTTGCATTTTTTTGCTTGGGGGTCGAGGTTAATGTGCCTCCGAAGTAATTTTCAGAGTTAGAGCTCATAGTCTTAACATGCATCAATGGTACACTAGACAGTGCTGATTGAGCTCGAAACCAAACAAAAGGATTGATGGTTCACATAGATTAGACAACTCAATACAAAACTATGTCCTTGCACTTGCATGCATAACGAAATGAGCGAGACTCGTCTTTTCTAGTTGAAGGGTTTGTTTATCTATTTACTTAGTTACCCTTCAGGATAAAATATGTAAGTAGAAAAAAAAATTTAAAAGGAAAACACAGCAAAGCTTGGGGCGAAACAAAGATATTATACAGTAGTTAAGGTTCTTCACAAAAAAATACTGAGGCACGGCAGTTTAAGAATTCGCGTTATGAGAAATTTCGGCAACGTCTCGGGGAAGGTGACTCATATCTTGTCGAAGTTCGAGAAACGCACATTTTCGAGGAAGGCACGCTTCCAAGAAATATACACTTTCAAGAAAGAGGCACTTCTCAAGAAATACACACTTTCGAGAAAAGCATACATTGAAGAAAGGTCAAGCATTCAAGAAAGACACACTTTCAAGGAAAGGCATTCTGCCGAACTGAGACTTGTTTCGAAAAGTGCGAATCACTGTGCGACTCTCTCCGCAGTTGTGAGAAGACGTTTGGGAGGAAGGCCGGCTCCGCCTTTTGCGTCTCGGAGGCCATGCAAGAGGACCTTCGTTCCAACTGGGGTGTCCGGTGAGTTTGTGGGTCCACACTTTTTGGCGTCCCACAAGACGAGACCCACGTGGGTCCTCTCCTGGCAACGTGGGCCGACAACGAGACCCCATGGTCCCCAGTTAGGTTGACTACTCTGCGTTGCTTGGGAATCAGTTGAAGCGCACATTCACATTGTTCATAGCGAGACTACAGAATGGAACAACCGGATCGAGGCCGTTTTAAGCGAACCACGGAAATGGTTGTCGCAGAGTGTGGTGTGGTCATTTAGTGCGCAGGGACGCCTCCGATATGATCTTCTTTAGTGAAGGTGTTGCAGGCGCTTGGACTACTTCTTTCATCTCTTCTACATTCAATTCGGCGTCTTGTTAAAACTCCGAGTTAACGTCAGACTTTCCTTACCTAAGTGTTCGGCATTTCGTAAAGCCCGGATAAAAGCATGGCCGTGAGGCTCGACACTGATTGGTTGACAGGTGGGAGAGGAGGAGCGAGGTGCTCGACGCTGATTGCTTAACGGCGAGGTCATGTCGGACAGGCGAGAAGGAGTAAGGTAGGCGAGGAGGAGCTTGACCACCTGTGCGCCCTGAGGGAGAGGAGCTTGAGAGTATGGAAGGCTATGCATAATCGCCAGGTGTGTCGGCCCGATTAGCTCTAGTATCGTTTCATTCTGGGAACAGCTTTCTAGTGTACACGTTGTACGCGTTAATCTACCGTAATTAGGGATGCCGCAAACTTTTTTCGAACCGAAGGTTCGATGATTGAATCAAGCGGTTCGAAAGACTTAGAATTTTCAAACTTTCCATGTCGAGAAATTCGACGGAAGTTGAATTTTTGAAACTTGTTGAACTGAGAAGTTTGATGCTTTTGGAAATTTCGAACTTTGCACGTTCAGAAATTAGATATTTTTCGAACTTTCGATTTTATTACGCTAAAAAGTTTGATCCTTTTCAAACTTTCAAACTTATTACGCTGCTAAATTCGATGCTTGTCGAACTTTCGAACTTGATACACTAAAAAATTTGATGATTTTTGAACTTTCAAATTTCTTGCACTAAAAGGGTCGAAGCTTATCGAACTTTCGATCTTCCTACGCTTACAAATTAGATAATTTTCGAACTTTCAAACTTGTTTATCTAAAAAATTCAAAAATTTCCGAACTTTCAAATTCTGAAAAGTCAAAAGTTGGATGAACTTTGAAAGACTGGCGGGCGGTATCATTTGGATTCAAGCAGTGAAATACATTCATAATTTTTTTTTTTTGAATTTTTACATGCAATGTTGCATTCCTTGCGAAAGACAGTGCCGTTTATTTCAATGTTCTGGCATGCTCAGTTTTAAAGAAATTAATTCCCGAAGGAGCGAGGAAGTAAGACTGGTTTTTGACAATTGTTGTTTGTGCCATATTTGTCGCGCACTATAGCCGAAGTTATTTATGGTAGAGATGTTAGGTAATTGTCGTCCTAAGATATAATTATTGTTGTTCAAGATAAGTTTCGAAGAAATGTCCAAACATGTATCTACGGGCAATTATGCCCTAAACTTGGTAATTTTGTTTGTCTGAATTGTTTGAGGTATCACATTTAAATTAACACCACAGACAGTACATATCATTGCCATCTACAGAATAGAAAATAATGTATTTATTGTTTTTTTCACGCTGAGGAATAAATTAACTCATGAGAGAAGATTTCTAATATTGTTCAAGTGCATCACATCATTAAAAAAAAAGCCATTTTTTTTTCCTCATTTTACGTTTCTGGGGCATGTTTCTTTTAGCCTGTATACGTTTTTGGTAGGAGAAACTTGTTTCACAGTTCTGGGCCTCTGAATATGCAAGAATACAACACTTCTAACGGGTTCCTGATAGTTTTTTTTTTTTTCCAGCTTTTTATCTTTGCAGTTATTATGTATTTTTTCTTTCTTTTTTTTTACCAGTGGCACAGTTATTTAAGTTGAAAAGGCAGAGACAGCTTTAAACTTCCAAACGACTAAGCATGTGACGAGTAGTGCCTTCTGACCACGAGTTTCTAACAATGACCATCTACGCAATCTTTTATGCAGTGGAAAGCGTCAGTGGCCATACATATGCATAAATAATTTCAAATTAAAATAAGCTCGACCACGCCCTCTTTCCCTGTATTGTTTTCTTTAACAGTCCAAAGTATCTGGGGAGGGGGGGGGGGGGGGGGGGGGAAGGTGAAAACTGGAGGCCCCCCCCCGTTTTTTGTCTTCCGACGCCACTGGTATGGTAGAACTTTCCTCGAGTTGTGTCGGTTTCTGTGCTTTTTGCTCGGCGTTTCTTCCGTCCTGGAAATTAAACCTCCAAAACAATTATAAACTAAAAAATTGTCAAAGTGCAAGCGAGCTGGTTTATGTTGATCATGATGCAAAATCCTGAGACTGGGCATGAAATTTGAAAGGAAAAGTGTAAGAAGACAGGAAAAAGGGGACAGGACAACGTCACAAACTCAGCTCAGTTGAGTCTGAGACATTGTACTAAGCTGAGTTTTCAGCTGAGTTGAGTTTGAGACGTTGTCCTGAGCTGAATTTGAGACGTTGTCCTGAGCTGAGTTTGAGACAATGTCCTGTCCCCTTTTTTCTGTCTTCTTACACTCTTTCTTTCAAATTTCATTCCCAGTCTCAGGGTTTTGCATCATGTACAAACTAAACTTACTATATACCAGCGTCACTCGGGCGGCGTTCGATCGGAAAACTACCAGCGTGCAAGGGGGTAGGGAGGCAGTTTGCCAGATAGCTTTAAGGTTTTTTTTTGAGCCTCGGCCACCTGCCTGCTCCTGGCCGTTTCGAACTGGATGAGTATCGTTAAACAGTGCGTTCGCGTGATCACTACTGCGTGATGCACGTTAAAGACTCCCCCCCCCCCCTTCCCAGGTTGGCAGTCACAATTACTGATCTCTGCACTGGCAAATATTTCAGCACATCCGGGACACTCGTCGTCTCATTTAATTGCCTGACCAACTTCGCGCAGTCTAAATATCACACCCTAACTTTTTTAAACCTAACTTCGTGAAAACCAGTGAGGCGTGAAGACGTTATTTGAAACTGAAACTGTGGAGGAACATGAAAACCGGACTTCGAACTTTGCGCACTTGGACTTTAAAAAAAGTCATAACCTTCAAAGTTTTTTTTTTTTTTTTTTGATTTATCCTTAATAGAGAATTAAAGCCTTCGAACTTTATGTAGAAAGAAATTCGAAATATTCAAATTTATCGAACTTTATGTCCGTAAAAATTCGAAACATTCAAATTTTTAGAATTTCAGATCCAAAGAAATTCGATAGCTTTGAATTTTTCGAAGTTAAGATTCAAAGAAATTTGAAATCTTCGAATTTTTCAAACGTTAGATTTCAAGAAATTCAAAGCTTTCGAATCTCTCGAATTTTAAGTTAGGAAAGTTCGAAATCTTCGAATTTCTCGAACCTCAAGAAAAAAAAATATTCGAATCAAACCCAAACTTTTAGAAACCGTGAAAGCTTTAAACTTTTCGAATTTTAAACTCCACAGTGTTGTAACGTTGCGAACTTTTTGAATTCGAACCTTGGTACGGTCGAAAATATCGAAGTCCTTCTAATTCGACCTCATTTCATTTAGAAAATATTGAAACCTTTCGAATTCGAACCTAGGGTAGTTCGCGGCATCCCTAACCGTAATGTCCCCGAACTTGGATTGACGTCAAGGTATTTGCCAACTCGATTGCCGGCTTTCCTACTTCCCCAGCATCGCTCTTCGTTGCTTAATTCGCCCGCTCGCTCACTCGTTGTGCCTGGCATATATTTTTTTTTTTTATTATTATTTTCTTGCTCACTCCTTTTTTTAGAAACATGTTCTCACAAATCAAACATTCGTACTGTATGCTGATCGGCGGTGTTCATCATGCGCACGCCACCGACAGACTTAGCGATGTAAAGCGTAGTTTCGTGAGCATTTCTTGCGTAAAACAATGAAGCTAATTTGAGTTTTGAGTTTAATGTATCTCTTGTGCAGCCGCGCTAGGTATGTACAGAAAAATAGGCGTTTCTCTAGCTTTTTTAGAACGTTTTGTGCTTATTCACCGAGATATGGCCCACCCTTGTTTTTTTTTATGAATTTCAGGCGGCAGGGGGTGTGGGCAGTGACTTGGGATATAACGGTATCTCATGAAGAGCGCCGTGAACGTAGGCGTCTGACGTCTGGAAACTCTGAGTATTGCTAAACGTTCCTGATGAGAACGTTTCACGTATGCAACACAATTGCCTCGTAATTTCCCTAACATTTTAATCCTTTTCTCAACTACAGAGAGGAATTAAATATCTAGATCCACTTCACAAAACCAGAAACCACATTGCGACGGCTGAGTGTACAAAATAAGGCAGTTCATTGAGCGTCTTTTTTTTGTTTGTTCTTTTACGCTGTGTGTTTCGGGTTAGGTTTCCATAAAAAAAATGGCCCTAAAAGTGTAAAGCAAGAATTAACACATCATCTGTAATTCTCTGCCAAATGACATCATTACAATAACCGACTATGTGTCGTTTTCATTCGAACTTTCTCATTATTATTCATAAATATTCTTTTTTGTGTTTTCATGGATTATGAGTTACATATGCGTGTGCCCAATTATTCGGAGGTATATAGTGTGACCTGAGTTTTCTAAAACTGTTTAATGAGGTTTTGCCCAAGCTGTTATTTTATACATATATCCCGCTGGCACCGTTCTTTTTACGTTAATTGCCCATACTTTTTATTTTCCCACCCCTTACAAAAGTTCCACCAGGAGATGTAGTATCAATAAATAAAAATAATGGTTGAATTGACGTGTAATTTTACACCAATTCAGGTTTTCCCGCTAAATTTAAGGGGAGAACCTAAATTGGCGTATGATCTAACTAGCGTGCAGAAATTACACCTCGCATTCTGTGCACCTCAGCTTCATCCTAGAAATCGAGCACCTGTCGTTTATTTTTTTTTTTTCATCTCGTTATTGCCAGGGCACAGGTTCTGTATGACAAGCCAGCCGCAGTGTTCCGCCCAACCAGTCCGACGGAGCTGCATCCGCTGTTCCAACGGTTGGCGCGGGAATTCCCAGAGCTGCGGAGCTCCCTTTCGGAGAAACAGGGAAGGGGTGACGGCGAACCTGACGACGACTACTCTCGGACCGTCTTCACCCAGGAAGGAGGTTCTGGTTCCAGTTCCGGTTCACTGAGGCCGGACCGTCCTGCCCTGCTCGTGAGCGGAACTAGCTGGACAGGTCAGTTACCAGATGCACTATCTGTCTCAGCAGAAAGTTTATTTATTTATTCATTTATTTACCCTTCATTCTGCTGCACCCCTTAGAGCATAACAGCAGGGAGAGGGGTACATAAAGAGAATGAGCATGATGTATATAGTAATTTGCAGGGTAGCTTGCCTCTGACTCTTTCCTAAAATATTTCATTATAACCCATCACTCAGTCAACGACTTTTCACAAGACCCTTCTATGTTTCATCCCGTCGGGATCATTTTTATAAAGTAGGCATAACTGTATGTAACATTAATGCGTCCCATCACTCATTCATTCAAAACATCCTTTGATTGGAACCACTTTCCCACCTCCATCGCTACAACTTAGATCAATGATCTGTTTTAAACTGCTCTCACTAATCTTCATTGTTCAATACTGTAACCATATCTGCTTTTTGCCTTATAATTTTTTTTTATTGCACTTTGTTGTATTTACACTTCACTTCCCTCTGTGATGCTATTGGCCTTAGAGGGATACTACAACGAAATTTCGGTGCTCATTTTTTTGGTCTTTGTGTTCAAAAGAGCAGTATCACATGGAACATACCAAAACCTTGTTAAAAAAGTCTCGAAAAGGAGTTTTACAATGAATTAAACAATTAGCAGAGAGCACCTGGTGGATGTCGCTAACGCCTCGTTTGTAATGCCCGCCTAGGAACCTTGACAGCTAGTGACGGAGGTTGTCTCGTCTTCGGCCACGAGGAGAGAAGGGGGAAGGAGGAACTCCCCTCTTCCCGAGAATCCCTTTTGTGTGTCGCAGAAGTCGCTATTGTCCCCCTAGAAGATTATAGAAGATTAACCCGTCTCTCAAAATTCGTACAAAAGCAGCCGCTTCGGTGGCTGGAACGACTAGGCCATCCTCTCTACGTCAGCCTCGCCGTAGCTTTGCTCGTCTTGAGACGACCTACGTCACGATTGCGTTGGATGTCTTGTGCTCCAAGCTGGGCCTTCTCCGAGCGCTTGCCAGAGTGGGCCGTTTATAACGAAAAATACAGCCACCAGGATCAAAATACAAACGTGCGATTGTCATTTACGGATATTGTGGATCATATTCAACCTATTTTTGAACACGACGGGAATATTTCAAATTTCGTTGAAGTATCCCTTTAAGGATATTGAAATAAATAGTGAGGATCGCAACAGGTGCCGGTCACTTGCAGTACGAACGAAGAGTGACGAGTGACAGTGTGACAAAGTTTCAACTCGTAACGGGCGTTCCGGTGCGACATATGACAGACTGCAGAAAGGAAAGTAGAACATATAGATGTTGATGAAAAAAACAGTGAGTGCGCAGGCAAGCTGGTGGAAGTAGATCATGATGTAGAATACCCGAGACTGTGGTAAAAGCTGAGAAACTCGGTTGAGACATTCTTTTCCCCCGTCCTTTTTCCTTCGACCAGGTTTTCCAGCTTTTACCACAGTCTCGGGTATTCTACATCATGATATAGATGTTAGTGGTCAGATTTTCATTAACAGTTTTTGAACACAACCCACTTTTGTGTCAAAAACGAAAAATGAAAACCTCGCACTTTTTGTGCGTGTGCTCACATGTCCGGACATGTTGCGCTCGGAAGGTGCTCGCCTTGTTTGTGGAACCATTGCCCGCGCGAAGCTGGTTCTTGTTCACATTAGATATTGAACCACACTGCAACACTAATAGAAAGCACCGCTCTAAACTGCAAGTTTTGTTGTTACTCTACTTTTGCAAAGGAATTAAAAAAGTCAAAACTCGCTGGACCAACTGTGCAGCCCTCAGTGGAGACTATGTTAAGAAATAAAATAAATTTGAAAAAAAAGAAAACAGTGGTTTATCTTCCCTTTTTTACCATACTCATCAAACGACCCTCGTATATGCTTGTGACACTGGTGCAGGCATTTCAGACACTAATTGTCTAGTAAACATCTTGATATAGCAAACATTTTTCTAAAAAAAAAAACGACTAATTTAGGAAAGTTCTATTGTAGTTAGAAAACGGCGCATTTGATAGTTTACACTATTTTCTTAATTTTCCTCATAATGGTTTTGTTCACTAGTACTCGGTCTAATTCTGAATTTAGTCGTCTTGTTAATGTAATTACAATGAAATTTTTTATTTTTTTTTGCTTGCAGAGGATGAAGATTTTTCTGTGCTCCTGGAATCTCTCGAAGGTGGGTATGTCATAGTGTGTGAGGGAAAATGTGTGTTCCTTAAAAGGGCAGTGACACCCCCCAAAACATTTTTTTGTATTTTTTGGCAGGCAACTTAATATGGTGCCAGGAGACTACTCAATTAATATTTTGCAACAGTGTCACTTACATTTTTAATTAAAGCCAAAAAACTAAAACTGCTCGAAACCGAAGCATGCGCGGAAGCTCGTGGGCAAGACATGCGGGCAATGTGTACCGGGGAGAAGGGAGAAATGTAGAGGAAGAGAGAGATGCCAGAAGTCGCATGACTACGCATGACAGCATTTTGTTTTTCTCTGCTTCTTTCGGCGCGTAAAGAGCAAGACGACGACGACGACGATGTTGAGTGCACCGTCTGTCGCACGATTGTTTCACACTTGTATCCTTTCCGCTCAATGACCTGCGTTTGAAGATCGATTGGCCGGTACCACGAACAACGGTTCTGAAGTAGCGGCCCCATGTCCGTCTCAACGTTTGTCCATTGTGCGCTGCTTTCACGTCGGCCAGCCCACAATACGTCACCATACTGATAATGATATGCACACATGCTTCCTGCGGTCTGTGCAACATTTTCTTTTAGACCAATGTATTTGCAGCTTCTTTGATGTTACAGACATTGGGTACATGTTGTTTCCTATTTTTAATATTGAATGTGTGCCTTAGACTACCTGCGACTTCGAATATATTTGGTACATATACAGGTGATTCAAAAAGAGGCCAGGCTCTTTAAATCGACCGCAGAATTCGGTTTCTTAACCTATTGTACTACGACTTTGTCCAGCGTTGCCCACAGATGGTGCATTTTTTTTGTAAGATTTGCAAAGAGCGAACTTACCTGAGGGAAAAGTAAAGAAATAAAAAGGCTTAGCTCCTATGGAAACGCAGCGAAGCCAGCCACCGGTCTTCAAACAACACAGCGCCGTTTCGCGCGGGAGGCAAGAGATGGGCGCAAGCGGTCGCGACGCCAACTGCCGCCAACGAACGAGCATACGGCGCCGAGAGCCGGCGTCTTTAGCAGACAAGGAACTGCAGTTCCTTGTTGTTATCGCGCCTGTTTTTGTTTCTGCGACTGTCGCCGCCTGCGGACCGCGCGCCGCTTTTGAGTCAAAAAGATTGTCTGCGAAAGTCGCCGGCTCTCGATGCGTATGCTCGTTCGTTGGCGGCGTTCGTTGCGCCATCTCGTCTCTCGTACGAAACGGCGCCGTGTTGTTTGAAGACCGGTGGCGTCGCTGCGAGGAGCTAAGCCTTTTTCTTTCTTTACTTTTTCCTCATGTAAATTCGCTCTTTGCAAATTTTACAAAAAAAAAAAAAAAATGCACCATGTGTGGGCAACGCTGCACTAAGTCGTAGCGTGATAGGTTAAGTAACTGAACTTTGCGGTCGATTTAAAGAGCCTGGCCTCTCCTAATCATCCTGTAGTTTGAACACCACATAGCCGTAGAAAAAAGAGTGAGCGTGACTGAAACCGGCCAATTCTCGACCAGCCATTTTGCGGGTGGAAAGAAAACAAATTTTAAACCGCAGATTGTGTTCTACAGAGTTGGGCTTTTACAGGTCGTGTTCCGATTAAAATCTCGGGGAGCGTAAATACCCTGTTGGTGTGCCTTCAAAGCCATTTTTTTTCAGCTTACGACGCCAAAAAGGAGCGGGGGGACAGCAGCCTGCCCAACCTTTTCTGCGTCATAACGGGTGAGGTGCTTCCCAAAGATGTCCAAGGCCTACCTGTTGGCTACCCTAGTAGAGGAAATTGCGTTGTGTGTATGTTTAGGCAGTGCGGTTTACACGGCGCTATTGATGAGAAATTTTGTGAGTGCAGTACCAGCGCTAGCCTGGGGCCTTTAATGTGCATCGCCCAAGAATGATTACACAATTGCGCATTGGTGGGCTCTGCAATGCGAGCTCATCCTTTTAGAGGGGCAAGTCAAAACCAATGTGTCAAGGATAGGTATAAGTAGTGACAATAGTGCTGCCAACATATAATGTGATTATATTAAGGCGAAAATATGCTCAATATGCACTACGGTCGAATATACGAAGGCCAAACCCTGTTTCCACAGGATAGTTGTTTGAGGAATAGATGCGACTTCAGCCAACGTCGTTTCATTGCTGTTTACTAGGGTGCCGTTGGTTGGGCAGTGTGTGTCGGCCTTGCAGGTTAGGTAAAACAAGTTTCATTCAGAAACAATTTCGTTTCATATCATATTCAAACTCTTTTTTTGGGGAACTGGCAGACAAGAGAATGTCTTCTCGTAAAGAAAGGATAGTGTGGGTGTTCCTACATTCTGCGTGGAGCCTTGAGTTCATTTTGTAGTTGGACATTTTCCGACTGTTAAGTCAATTTTCAGAAAAGAATTTGGCTGTGCTTCGTAAAACTTACAAATCTATGGAAGGACCTTCATATGTCTTATAAGGGGTCAGATGCCTTTTTTTGAGGTCTTTATGAGGACATATGTTTACCTGCTTAATATTGGGTATGCATATATTTTTTTTTTGTTAAGGCACAATCATAAGGAAATATGGTATCATTGAAATGGTCTGCAGGGAAGGGGCCGATGAAGGATCACTACCTAGCCAAGATCCGAGCCAAGCCGATGAAGCATGTCCAGTTCCTTGCTCCTTGGTTGTCGGCTCAGGACTACCCGAAACTGCTTGGTAAGTCCAGTGCGATTAGGTTAATTCATGTTGCTCGCATTCAGAAACACCCATTACAAATATTTCGTGCCAATGTGTGCAAATCTCGGGTACATTTTGTATTTCAGACAAGACGCTTGGGACAAAGTTGGGGCCACTTTACTTAAAGGGGCCCTGCAATCATATTTAAGCGTCTACCTTTTTTGCGGTTTCCACGTCTCTTGGTGTTGGGGCAAGCCAGCGGGCACGGAGAGAGTAACTAAATATCAGTGCGTCATGTTTTAACCGGACGACGCGGAAACCTCCTCCACCGACGAGGGCGACCCGCGGTACCGAAAGCACGCAAAATGTGACGTCTTTGGTCCTGGGCTTGCCACTGGTCAAAGCCGCTAAGAGCTTTTTTTTAGTCGAGATACAAAATATAAGTGTCGCGAACCGTTTCAGTTATATATGAAAGTAGTTTTTGTTCACTATTTTAGATCAGAAAAGATACAAATGCAGTTTAGAAAGTACGGAAACGAGAAATGACCTGTCGACATACCCGCCACCAAGCGGCGGAAAAAAACGGCGCATACTAGAAAAGGCTAGTGGGATGAGGCTACGACAAACGAGGAGCGCAGAAAGGTCCCGGATGTATGCGGCGGCGCTGTGGTCGTATACCGGCTCAAGAATCCGACCTCCGAGCGTTCCGAAGGCCTTCGGCGCGGGCCCTGCTGGCGATTTGGCCATTTGGCGGTGCGTCAGCGCGAAGTGGCTCCCGTTCTGAACTGATCTTTACCCCGTGTTTCCTGTCGTTCTTGGCCAATGAAATGTTATGCCGAATTAGTGTTTAGTCGCGCTGCAAATGAAATACGAGCCGCCCTGGCCGCCCGCTTCATACAGCCTATCCAACACGTGCTTTAGTGGCGCCCTCTCGAGCCGTCGACACGGAGTGCGGCAGCCGTGTGCGCTCGATGAGCTCACTACTCCTCCTCTAGTTCAAGGCCACTCAAGGCAGGACCTAAGACGTCATGAAGGAGGTTATTTTTTGCTTGTTTTTGTAATTCTAATTTGCCTATAACTTTTAAAATAAAGCGAAATTTGAGAAAAGAAAAGTTGGATTAGGTTACTACGCTCAGTACGCTCAGGTTCAGTGCAAATTAAAAACCAGTCAGAAAGTCATTGCAGGGCCCCTTTAAAGAAGTTCCCCTTGCAAGCCACTTGGATTTCAGTGACTGTCCCCATTGGTCGCACTTACTGACAGCTGTAATCAAAGTGGTCTTAGTTGTACTCCTAAGGGGCCCACCCTGGGTACCATATTTGGTCAAGATGGGTCTTAGTGCTCTCTCAGTGTAGGCTGTCAATGCCAATGTCCAGTGTCAGTGTGCACGATTTGGATATACAGGCATAGGTGCTACCATATAATCCGTATAATTGCGTGTATGGGCCACACTTGCATAAGGGCCACATCCCCCATATTTAGACAATATTAAAAAAAAAATTTAAATGTTTTTAGCCTTTCTACTCTGGTGAAGAAGAAAGACTAGCAAAGCTGTGCTATGGTGGGATGACCTCAAGGATGATCTCAAGGACGACTTCTTGGACGACTTCAAGGATGACTTCTTGGACGACCTCAAGGATGACGCCTAGAACACGTCTAGGACGACCTCAATGACAATCCCTAGAATGACCTCGAGGACGACGTCTAGGACGACCTCAAGAACAATGCCTTTGACAACCTCAGGTACGACGTCTAAGACGACCTCAAGGACAACATCTAGGATGACCTCGAGGGTGACTTCTAGGACGACGTCTAGGGCGACCTCGAGGATGACTTCTAGGACGACCTTGAGGACGACTTCTAGGACGACCTCGAGGACAACCTCAAGGACGGCCTCAAGGATGACGTCTAGAGAAATTCAGTCTTTCCACTCTGGCGAAAACCAGTGGAAAGGCTAAAAAGGTTGCTGCCATTGCTCATAGATGGCGGTAGCTGTCCAGAGTTTTCTGTCGACATTTATTTGGCGACGGACACGAAACTAGGGAAACTAGCCCTTAACAGCTCCGCTGTAAAAAGTTATTATTTTTTTGCAGCACCCCCGTTTCTTCCAGGGGTGCCGACTGCTTCCGCAGTGTGGCGAGCGCTCCGCATCTCTGCCATCTTTACTTCGCCAGATACCTCTGCTCGCACTTTTCACCGTGTTTTGAAACTCGGATAAGAGAGGTTACGGGAGTAAAGCTTCGGAGAGCTGTCTTTTTTATGGTTTTCGCGTCATCCACAGTCGCCTTCCGCCCATATGCCGTGAAACTGGACACTTCCGCCAATGTGCTGCTGGGCAACCGACCACTTGGATTCCCGAATGTGGCTGCAAGGCCAGTTAAGCTTGGTGAAAGTTTTCTTCTGTTATGTTGGTCTATGTGTGCCCCACGACCTGAGAGCGGTGAACTTTTGAACTGTCACCTATACCTTGGAGTGTAGCAGACGTACGGTTCGAGGTGGGCTCATATCGGTACGCCGCAGCCATTTTATGTTGGCATATTGAAACAGACGTCACGATGAAATTCTACAAAATAAATGGTGAATCTGAACCCCGAAAAGGCGCTTACTGAACGGCTCAAAAGAGCAACTCTGGCCACTGTTGCTGCCAATCAGACCCGAGCGCCGAGGATACCGCAGGTTGCAAGGATCGAGACCAAAATAAAGGCGCTCTAGACCACTGCATGCTATTGCAATAATATATCCATTTTACAGTGAATCTGTATACAGTTGAACCTCGATTTAACGAAACCTGATTTTACGAATTTTCTGGTTTAACGAAGAAATTCGCATTCCTCGCGCAGCCTATGCGCGAGGTCTCCCTTTCTCGATTTTACGAAGTTCCCGATTTAACGAAGTAATTAGCGGGTCCCGGTGACTTTGTTAAATCGAGGTTTAACTGTATGGCTAGGGTTCCGTGGATTTTTCATGTGCGTCAACAAGAACTCGCAGCCCCCTTGTCATCGTTCCAAATGCTTGCGTGCCTAGTTTCCTTCTGCTCTCTTGTTGGGGTGGTGGTCCCGTTGCACGTGTCTACTTTCTGCCAAGTGCTGGTCCCGTCGCTCGTGTCCAGATTCCTCTGGCTCCTCAGGGTGGCGATAGTCGTCCACACGAATGTATATAAAAAACCAGAGAGACAAGTTGCCATTCTTCATTTTCACTTTCACTTCTCTCGTCGTAATGGGTAGGCCGTGTATAGTGTGGATTCCTGAAGAGCAACGGGTCTACTAACAGCAACGGCAGGAATGGCAACTAGAATGTCATAGGCGGAGGCGGGCGGCTAACACCACCAATGAAGATCGTGCATAAATGTGTTTGTACCTTTGTTCAAAATTATGTGTCACGTCTATGTCGTGTGCTAAACAGCTTTGCTGGTCATCCACCTCCACAGAGTGTAATGGCTCATGATTTTTTTGGATGTACATTCAACTTTCCCTCGTCTTTATCTGTTTGTGGGCGGCACCTAGAAAACTAGCCCCGAAATTTGGAAGAAAAAGTGCGGCCCTTACACGTGTTTATATGGTATTTGTTTGTTTGTTACAGTGTCTTGTGAAAGTACATCTAGGGTAGCTTTGTTTTTGGGTTTTGTATATCTTGGCCTTTTCAGATTTTGCCTAGGGACGTCCGTAGTGGTAGCAGATGCGACTGTCCAAAAAAATGCTTTGAATTTGAAGAAATGTTACCTCCAAAAACACAGCCCTAGTCTACCTATTGACGGTCGTCACTGCAGGGGTGGATTTATGCATCAAGCAGTAAGAATTCGGCTGGCGGGGGGGAGTAGTATTCTGTGGAGATGTTTTGTTACGGCCGAAATGTTGCCCGTATCTATTTTGTTGACCCAATATTTGCTACGTCACCAAGAACTGAACTTTTTGCTAATGTTTATAAATTTTTTCGTTAAAAAAGTAATGACCTTGGGGACCAGCTTAGGAAAAGGGTGTCCACCCCTCCGCCCCACCCCACACCCCCTAAATCTGCCTCTGCGTCACCATACATGTACGGCAGCGATTACATATTTCAGAGTGCCCATCTAAACTCGAAATCGCAAGCACCCCAGGAAGCACTACTATTTGTTATGTCTTTGGCGAACTATAAACGTAAGTCCACAGTGTTTCCCTATTTACAGCATTGAAATTAGATGCTCCGCACACATGATACGAGCGAGGTGGTCGCTTTGCCTCTCTGCTCTGAGAGTGGTTCTTTCGACTCTGACTTTTAAGGCTTCTCAGAATTGAATTCAGATGATGAGAGTTTACCGCCAGATGAAGAAGCTGTGTAAAGTACCTTTTCAAAATCTGAAACCGCCGGTATGTCACAGAAGCACACGCACCAAAATGTAACCAAATGGAAGAAAGGAGACAATTTTTCGCCTTCAATATTTCGATTTGATTCTTCTAAACTTGAGCAGCTTACAAGCATCTTACATGCTCCTGCTAGGTAATTAAGAAATCTGCACATCGATGTCTCTGTTATAATAAGCTATTGTTTTGGGCCACTGGAAACATCGTTTAGGAAAATAACTCGACCGTTAAAGGGTTAAAGTGGAACTTAGAAACATGAAAGGATAAAACATAGAGCACTGTTAACGTCCCCATCCTCCATGTTTTACTTTTTCATGTATTCGGATCTATTCATCAACATGCTCGTTTTCAGTTTTATAAGAGTAGTTGTCAGTTTTGATCTGGATGGATTCCAGTAATCCGTGTCACAGCGACCGACAGCTTGTTTGTAGCTTGCGATTGGAGGAAAAATTGCCCGCCTGAACTGGTCCTAAGCATATTTATTCGAACGGCAACTTTACAAGGCCACTTCCTCTGGTAGGCGCAGCTGACTTGGGCGTCTGCCTCCATACGTCCTCGAGCAAACTGGACCTGCCCATGAAAGTTGTGGACATGTTCGGCTGCGGACTGCCCGTCTGCGCCGTCGACTACCCCTGGTGAGCAGAGTGTTTCTTTTCGAAACATGGTCCTTCATCTCTCGAAATATATGATGGAGCTGAGCAGCAATGGAGCAGCAAATCGAGCTGCAGATAGAGCGGCAAAATATGTGATTGAGATAGAGCAGCTTCTAGAGCTTTTTTTTTTATATAACTTGTGATCCAATACAAATGAAATTTGCAGAGCTTATGTGCTTTTACAATCTAACTACAGGCACATACTTGGTTTTCACATAGCTTAGTGAGTTTTGCTAAAATTGAAAGTTTCATTTGCAAAGTCCAGGATTAAGACAAATTCAAGTACTGAATGAAGTCGAATGAAGTTGGGAAGTCGAAGGTCTGCAGAATCTATTAAGGCACCAATGAAAGCTCTAGGGTGATTTATAAGATGTGAATGACACTTGAATTTTTCAGTTTTAAAATGTTTTTTACAGGAAGTATAGAATCATCTAAAAAAATGGATGCCATATGTAATATGTAGCATATTTCTACCTCTTACTGCAAACCTTGCTTATAAACCTACCAGAGAAAGGAAAATCAATGAAGATTAGAGGTATCCAAAGTGGAGATGCTTCCATAAAATGGCAAAGTGGATAAAAAGTTTATTTTGAAACAACAGAAAAAAGCACATACAGACAGATTGTACTATGCTTTCAAATGAATATTTCAATATAAAGATACTTATTTCATAGAAATACTTGAAGACAAAATAATAAATACACGTCTATCTTAAAAAAAAAAAAATTTTTTTTGTAAGGAGCAGTGTTTTTTTTTTTAAAGACGCCCTGCAATCATATTTAAGCATCTACCTTTTTTACGGCTTCCACGTCCCTCGGGGTTTGGGCGAGCCATTGGGCACGGAGAGAGTAACTAAATATCAGTGCGTCATATTTTAACCGAATGACGCGGAAACCTCCCCCACCGACGGGGGCGACTCACGGTGTTGAAAGCGCGCGATATGTGACGTCTTTGGTCCTGGGCTTACTACTGGTCAGAGCCGCTAAAAGCTTCTTTTTAGTTGAAATACAAAAATATAAGTGGCGCGAACCATTTCAGTTATTTATAAAAGTAGTTTTTGTTCAGTATATTAGATCAGAAAAGAAACAAATGCAGTTTAGAAAGTACGGAAACAAGAAATGACCCGTCGACATACCCGCCACCAGGCGGTGGAAAAGGCGGCGCATACTAGAAAGGTGTAGTGGGATCAGGCGCCAACGAGCGGCGAGCGTAGAAAGGTCCCAGATGTATGCGGCGGCACTGCGGTCGTATCGACTGGAGGATCCGACCGGTTCCGAGCGTTCCCAAGACCTTCGGCGAGCAGCTTCGGCTTGCAGTTTAGCGTTTTGGCGGTGTGGCAGCGCGAAGTGGCTCCCGTTCTGAACTGATCTTTACCCAGTGCTTGCTGTAGTTTGTGGCCAATGATGTGTCATGCCGAATTAGTGTTTACTCGCGCAGCGAATGCAATGCGAGCCGCCCTGGCTGCCCACTTCATACAGCCTAGCCAGAACATGCTTTAGGGGCGCCCCCTCGAGCCGTCGACACGGCAGCCGTGATCGCTTGCTGAGCTCACTACCCCTGCGCTAGTTCACGGCCACTCAAGCAACCAAGGACGTCATGAAGGAGGTTATTTTTGGTTGTTTTTGTAATTTTAATTTGCCTATAACTTTTAAAATAAAGCGAAATTCGAGAAAAGAAAAGTTTAATTAAGTTGCTACGTTCAGTGTGCTCAGGTTCGGTGCAAATTAAAAACCAGTCAAAAAGTCCTTGCAGGGCCCCTTTAAGAGGACTGCGATGCAATATGTTTTCATGCCAGGAATAAACACCTCATGTTTATAAAGCGTGGAACAGGTTTTCACTCACATCTAGGAACTTGTTTCCACGAAAGGCGCACTGACGAGTCTTGCGTTCCTTTCCTTCCTCTAATTTCTATTTCTTTCCGATTTGGATATCTATGTCCCATAATGAAACAAATGACAAAGGGATCATCTTTTGGTAATGAAATGTCGGCTTGATCAGTTGTGTCGAATTTTGAACAAAAAGAAGCCGTAAATAAGGCTCTCAGATGCAACAAAATGTACAAAAAAAGAACAAGCCACGGTCAATTGCAGCTCTTTGGAGCAACACACATCATGTGGAGACCCTCCCTGCAGCTTTCGTTTCACAATACCTTTATTGAGAGGGAGATTTTTTTTTCAGCCATCGGTACTATTTCAAGCCATCAATGGCCTCTTCAGCGGTTATCAGTTGGATTTTGAATATATATACTTGTATCTTTTAATAATTGATTTATTCAAAATTTATAATCTGTCCGCAGGTAATAAAACTGAGAGCAAGAGAAACAAGAATTACTCTGAGTGCGCAGTTATGTGATGGGCCCCACTTACTCTGTTTGTACCCAATTCTTTTAGCATTCAAGAGTTGGTGAAGCCTGGAGAGACTGGGCTTGTGTTCCAGTCGAGCGAAGAGCTTTGCGACCAACTCTGTGTGAGTACTTCTGTGTCCATCCCTGGTTTATTAATCCCATTTTCTCTGATCAAGTGCGAGCTTTTTAACAACAAAGTCAGCACATCAACTTTCCCGTCGTTGTCGATGGGACTGCAGGTATCAAGAAACTCAGAAATCCATTCTGCGTTGGTACTCTAGCACGTAAATTCCTAGCATGAAATCATTGTGCTCAGTGTCCACACGCAGGTCACATGTTTTGGTCTGAATGTGTCTGTCTAGTCATTTTCTGCATGGTCTCTTTTTTTTATATGATTGGTTGACATTGATTAGTTTCCCACAGGACGTGCGAAAAGTTGACATATGGGTGTTTTTCATCAAATGTTTTAATTGGGTTCCAGTGGCTGCTGATGTGGTAGCCTTGTCGGCTCTTGCTTAGACAGCTTTGAATGCAGACGTGCAATATTAGCCTTCGGCAATGCAGACAATAATTTTATTATTCTCTCTGAAACTGTAAGGAATGTGAAGGAGGGAAAGAGATGACTAAGAGCCACACGTGCACATGCCCAGGCACATGTGTGTGAGCTTGTGTGTGCATGTGCAGACCAGACTTGAATGTGAATATTTAGTAGAGGATCGAGCAGGAGAGAAAAAGTGGAAAGCGCAAGTGCACAACCAGTTTTTAAGCAACATCTATTGAAATTACATTGCTTAGACTCGTATACTTCTAGTGGGTTGCAGTCTATTACTACATCTACCGGGTATGAAATTGGGTACTGGGAATGGCTCTAGTGAAACGATTGTTTCCAAATCCTCTGACTCTGCGAGGCACATTTGCAGGATCTGCTGAAGGGCTTTCCGGAGATGACGGAGCGTCTGAAGTCCATGCGAGAGAACGTCCATCGTTGGCAGACGGTCCGCTGGGACGACAACTGGACCAGGGTTGCCCTGCCGACTTTTGCATCCGAATAGGGAAGTCAGCTATATCGGGTTACTTTCATGTGTTTTTTTTTCTTTCATGTTTTTTTTTTCTTCTTTATTTTGTGGGACCAAGAGAAGTGTATGTTTGAAAGAGTCGCCAATAAACATGAGTTCATCAGCACTCTTTTTCTCAGCAGTGTGTATGAGCTCTTCAGAGCGGAACCCATGGCATACAAAGATTCTTTGGGAAGTCTCAATACAATGCAGATATTTATGAAATACCCTTAATACCTTAAAATTCACTGAAGTGAGATGCACCATTCAGTCTGCTACAGTTTCTGAGCGTTTGACTCATGTATATCACAAGTGTCAATTGTGATGGTTTCGTACCGAGGTAATTTTACCGAGTGTCGTGAAGTACAGTTTTTTTTTAAGCTTTACAGATTTGTTTAAAAAAAGTTATTGAAGCTACATTTACACGGTTTGTGCAGGTGAGTTATACGGCCTGGAGGACATAGTATAGGGGGCCAATTGTAACGATCAGTCGGCTAATAGGTAAAATTTGTTATTAACTTTTTAATTAGGGAAAATGGACATATGGTTCAAATTAGAAACTTGCTGAGCGTCATCGAAAACCACGAAAGCAACTCTTTTTAGAAGGATATAACGCGGGAGCAGCAGTTTACAGTGTTCCGTAAAAATGCTCCATTTGGGTGCGTGTCTAGGTTTCGGTTTATTATTGAGGCGCACCTCTGCACTCACGGTCCTGCTCCCCAGTGGCTCAGACGTGCAACACATGTGCGCTTTACCTCCCTCCATCTTACGAGGGAGGCAACGTGTGGCTTCGCATTGGACCACCAGGGAGCAGGACCACGGGCGCACAGATGCGCCCGTGGTCCTGCTCCCCAGAAACGCGTCCTAATTGAGCGTTTTCTCAGGTTGCCGTAAAATGCTGCCCCTGTATTATATATTCCTAAGTAGAGTTGATTTATTGGTTTTAGATGATGCTTAGCAAGTTTCTAATTGAAACCATATATTTTCACTAATTAAAAAGTGAATGAACAAATTATATTTAATTATCCAACTGATCGTTACGATTAGCCCCCTGGCTGGCCTGCGCAACTCACCTGCACAAACTCTGTTAGTGTAGCTTTCATGGAATTTTTTAAACAAATCTGTAAAGCTTAAGAAAACACCCTGTATTGTGTGAAAGTTGCCTTAACTTTGTAGTGTGCTCATGGAAGTATAATTTTCAAGAAGTCATTTTTTCCCCTTCTTAATTTGATTTTTGGTGTCACTGTTAATTTTAGTACGGTTATAATTTGCCATTTTTGCAACGGTTTGATAATCAAGACAACTAAAGCAAAACTATAGTAATGTAAATACTTTTTCTTCTAGGCTCTTGTAAGTTAGATTAATTTGAGCTATATCAACATTTCTGACCCAGTCTTTTTAGTGTGATTCTGATACAATTCTCGCCGTTGACAATTTTTTCAGATAAGATTTGGACAAAAACATATACGAGATTTCGCCGTCAGGCCTCTAGTGTTTCGTTTTAAACTTAAAAAAAAAAAGTGTGGCGTTAGATGTTTTTAATAAAAATGCTCGCTGCAAAAGAAAAAAAAAAAGAGAAAAGAGCACTAAAATTTGGTGTTTGCTCGTGACGAGCTCGAATTTTTGTCAAAAGTATTCTAAAGGTGGAATTTATCTTGTAAAATTTCACGGCATAGCTCTGTGTGACAAATTAGAACACCCTTTACGTTTGCGGGGAGGGGCGCACCTAGAGCACTATATAGCTCCTTCGGAGCAGAGTAGCGCAATCTAGAACGCCGCCTCTCGGCGACTAGCGGCGAACGCCCGGAGATTCCAACTGCGGTCAGAAATGCATGGAGAACGTGAGAAAATCGTTGTTTCTTCAGTATTGTGGGAATATACGGAATGGCAATCGTTTGTGACATAATAATGAAACATTTTAGAATAATTTGCGCTAAGTTTTGTGACCCGCAAGAACCTGACTTTTTTTTAAAAATTGCTTGAGCGGCATCATGCAGCAGACGACACGGCGACGTCACACCATTCACGTGACCCGCTCCGGCCAACCCGAAAAGCTCATCTCCGCTGCGAGCAAAAATCGTCTGCTTCAAACGCCATTGCCTTGAAAATTGCCTTCTCAAAATTTGCACACGCATCCGATATTATTAAAACTTTGACAAAGTGTTTAGTGCTTTACTAACTTCACGACAGATTAGTTTTGAAAAGTGTGAACTCGCCGTTCATTTTTTAATCAGCCGTGTTGTATCGATCTCCATGTATTCTCCCATAGGGCGGGCCGCCTCTTGGAACCCTGAGTACCACGTGACTCGCGCCGAGCCGCTCTGTCGGCCATCTTGTCGGCAAAACACGAGGTTCAAAGGATTGCGCTACTCTGCTCCGTAGGAGCTATATAGTGCTCTAGGCGCACCGACACAGGTGACGGGGCCAACCACTGATCTCAATTGTCATAGAGATCAGTGGGGCCAACCGAAAGCAGCACTTGTGCCGCCATCTTCCAACAGACGCAGCAGCAAGGCAGACGACGCACCGTCCGGTTTAGACCGAGTGTTTTCTGCGCTTATCGGAAGATGGCGCCACGAGTGCGGCTCTCGTGCCACTCGCTTGTCTGTGTTGGCGCTCGTTTTCGAAAATCTCAACTATGTTCTAATTTTTCACGGAAACGGAGCTACGTTTTGAAATTTCACAAGGTAATCCAAGCGCGCTACTGGCAGTCGGCGATCTAAAGAAATTTATTCTTCGGTATAACGGAAGTCGGCGGACTATAAATGTTTAAAAGTTGGTAAAAAAAAAAAAAAAAAAAATGGGTTGTTGGTCTGCCTCAACGGGCAACGAGTCTCCCATTTAGCCAGTGCGGTACAACCGCTAGCCTGGGGTCTTTAGCGTGCATCACGCAGTAGTGATACACGACCGCACGCCTGAACGATGCTCATCCAGATCGAAACGGGCAGGGGTGGGGATTCATTCCAGGATCACGGGTTCTGCAGCGCGAGCTTTCGCTCCACGTGCTCCGAGCTGGTGTGCGCTAGCCAACAAGAAAAGAGCTTGAGACTGCCAGCGGGATGCTTTTGCACACATGCCCCGCGATTAATCCGCAAAGTTGCTGCGTTCAAGCGGACAATGTATCGAGCTTGATATTGATAGTACAAACGCTTAACTGCTTGCGGTTGCAAAATTATTACTACATATGAATAAGCCGCGACTGTGTAGTCTTTCAGGAACGACAGTCGCAACGCCTCCAAAATGAAGAATTGCGTTCACGCTCAGTTTTGTTTACGTTAAAACAACACGAATTATAGCATTGAGACCTATGAAAAAGATACAAATTTGCATTCGCATTGTTTCATTAACACGGGGGGCTTGCTATTTGTTGGGGTAGTAACGACTTCTCTTTTTTTTTTACCAGGGGTAAGAACCTAGTGCTGCACGGGCAACATGAGGAAAAACACTTCAAACAAGACTCGTTAAAAAGTAGGCTAAAACTAAAACCACTTGTAATGGAGAGGTCCCGGGTTCGATACCCGGACCAGGCGGATTTTTTCGGCCGCTCACCAGTCACCTAGCTGTGTTTGCAGATTTATGTTTGTCCTTTGTCCCTCTTGTTCCCCTTCTCCAGGGATTACTTTCGTCATTCTTGTCCAGCTCGCTTGCACCTTTGTATTTAATTGCATTATAATTAAAACTGGTATTCACCTAAAAAACCGAAAAAAAAAACAATTTGGTTTTTTGCGTAGCATTATTAATTTTCCCTTTTATGTGGAGAATTAAGATCTATGGAGGTGTATTTTAGATCAGATATATGTTATCTTATCAAGACGTAGACGTTTCAAATGCCAAAAGCATCGCTTGTTCCTCCGACAGCCAAATATTGTGAGAACTACTGCGCACGGCGTGTAAACAATACGCAAAACTTTTTTTTTTCTTGAGGTGGCAACGAGTATAGATTCCGCCTAACCTTCCTCGTAGTTTCGGTATCTCAGTCTCCTCACGGCTTAAACCAGCAGAATTTAGTGGTTCGAATTCAAACAACAGCTGTGGTATATTTTGACGACGTGCAACAAATCTCAATTTAAAATATGCCTGCTAAAGCGAATCTTTCCAAAATTAATAGATTTTAGGTAAATAATTATCTAATTACCACTTATACGCTCGTAACTTGACGTCCGCCGTGGTCGGTAACGTTGTTCTGAAGGAATCACTTATTATTTTGTGTTCTTAAAAATAATTTTTTTTCTAGTTAAACACCCAAGTATCATATACCAAGCATCATTATATATATATGAAGAAAAATATGCATATTTAAAGTAAATTAACAAAGGGGGGGGGGGGGGGGGGGGGCTTCGTTCTGTCAGACCACATTGTCATTTCCTCCATAACGGCACAGAACGGCTGAGTTACGGCATCCATTACACTACGCACGAGAACTCAGCAAACACGCAATAGGATGCGCACGGTTATGTTTATTCGTCGCGAAGCATGAATCCTGGAAGCAGAAGACCGGAAGATGTATTTCCTTTTCACTTTTTCTTTGTCACGACGGTGCTTGGAAAGTAAAGGAAACTTCCGAGTCCTCGAGGTCACGCCGAGCAGACGTGGACAGACGGTATCGGAGTGGAGAGAAGCAGACGACAAACGTAGCCGAGGCTTGAAGTAGACGACAAACCTAGCAGAAGCTCGAAGCCGACCACAAAACGAGCAGACCCTTGATTGAAGCAGACGACAAATCTAGCAGACGCTTGAAGCAGATGAATGACCTAGCAGACGTCAAACCTGGCCAACGCTTGAAGCAGACGACAAATTTCGCAGACGCTTGAAACAAAAGTCGACTCTGCGAGATGAAGGCGCGAGGTCCTACGAGGGGCTCTAGCCCTACCTTGGCAGTACCAAAAGAGTTTTTACAAAATCCTGTGACAACCTGCTCCACACAGCGAAACACTTTCAAAGGCGCTGTCTGAGACTCGTTGAACGGCGACTCGGTTGCTTCAACTCGGCCGTTGCTTATCCGTCATTCGGAAGAACGGCCAGGAAAGGCGATCAACGCAGACAGCGACCGAAATAAATCGCGGTAGAGGAGAGGCCAGCTCTCCGAACAAGCTGTGACGTCACCGAAAAGCTTTTACAGAGCCTGAA